TGGACATGAAACTTTTTTTTTTTTTTTTAACAACAGTCACCTGCCTGGCATCCAGTCCTGCTAATAGAAACGTGTGTCGCAGGCTATGACGCAAATCTTCGTTGACAGAAATGTTGAAATTTAATATTTATTCTACACATTCTTGCAGCATTGGAAAACGTTAAGAGTTTGTGTCATGTTTGTCCTCCTACAGAAACCATATTAAAACAAAAAATGTATTTCCCTCCGACATCTTTTTCCATTTTCAAACATTTTTGAAAAAGATCCAGGTAGCCATTAGGGCGGCGCTAAAGACCCCCGACCCAGGGCAACGACATGGCCAAAAGGGGGCTGCAAAACATCACATGAGGCATAAACGACCTGTGTGGCGCAACATTGAGACCTCTGATTTAGCATATGTAACACAAAATGACAGACATTAAAATGTCGAATCAGTACCTGCATGCAGTACTGGCTAAAACTTTCAACCCATCCTTCTCAAACATCCGGGGAGGTATTGCTTGTATATAAATAAACCAATATAATATCCTCTATCTGGCACAATTGCTGTCAAGCAGAGGTGAGTGCCAGGTTTTAAACTTCAGATTTCTGTTCCGACAACTTCCCTGAGGGGTAACTTGAGAAAGAAAGCGGTGTCCCACTGCTGTTACAGTTCCAATAGGTAGACTTCGACACCCCACTCACAAAATGACAGATAAGAGTCATGTAATGTTTGTCCCATAAAAAATAGAATATGAGATGGTATTTCTAGCTTGAGTGAACTACTTCTTAGAGAAGACCAACATCAAATATCTCTCGCCTTTTCTTTCACTTCGACACTTGAAATCTGAGCAGAACATTCTGTCGTCTCTGCTCCCCGTCTCTGGAACTCACTACCACTCCAACACAGAAACATAGTTTGTTTCACCCACTTCAAATCACAATAAGAACACACCTGTTTAAGACTGCCTACTCAATACGATGACTTTTGCTTTGCCTGTACTGTACTGCATTTAAGTTTGAATTGACTTATCTCATTGTACTTTTCATTGTTGTTTTATTGAATGTAATGTTATATATTGTACTGGGTCCTTGAGTGCAAAGAAAGGTGCCTCTAAATAAAATGTATGTGTATAATGAACAAAAAAAATTGGTTAAGTGCCCAATCCACACAGATGTAGGTATTTTGTAAAGCAAGTACAACTCTTGCAACAATATCATGTTGTGCATACTAACCTGATTAACCACCTCCAGATGGATATTTAGTATTGCAGAAATAGTGTTCCCTGTCGTTGATGTGCTATAACTCCGGTGTTAGCCAGCTCCGAGCCTCAGCATCGCAACCAGTTAAGTAAAATATGTATTAAGTATGGCAAGAAACAACCAGGTAAAAAATGAGAACGAAGTCCTAAGGCAGTTGGCCAACCGCAGAGATGACAACCTATTGAAATTTACTTCCAGAACATGGAAATTTTGATTTTTAAAAATGTGCTAACCATTGTTTTACGCAACCTAAGTATTGTTGTGTATCTATAAATTCTTATTTTAATGTAAGTGGAATTCATTGTGTTACAATAGCAAAAGATCAATAATAATAATAAATAATAATACAGTCATACCTCGGTTTTCGACCATAATCCATTCCAGAAGGCTGTTCGAAAACAGATTTGTTCGAAAACCAAAACCACGCTCTTTTAAAAAAAAAAAAAAAATCTTTATTGAACACGTCTATGGACAATGGAACGCTACACGAGGAAGCGTCACTTCCTCGTGTAAGGAAGGCGAGAGGAGTCAAGCGGCGCATTCAAGTGCGCTCAGTTTGTTCGAGAACCGAAATTCGGTCGTCATCCGAGCCATAAAAAACTAGAAATTTTTGGTCGAAAACCGATTTGGTCAAGAACAGAGACGTTCGAAAACCGAGGTTTGACTGTAATGACAATAATAATCCTAATAGTAAATCCCCTTTCTGAGCCGTCACCTTACCGTAGTGGAGGGGTTTGTGTATTGTTTGTTTGTTTGTTTATTGAACATAAAAACATATACAGTAATAAATTGACAGAAAGTAAGGTAAGTAAAATAGTAAAAGAAAAGAGAAATCAGTCATCATTCAACACAATTATTATGTTCAAGGGAGTAGGAAGAAGTAAAGAACTTATCTAGTCCTACTCCGTGTTGTGTTTATATATAAATAGATCATTTTTATGTCAATCAGAAAAGAAAGAAAGAAGGTATAAGTCTCCATAAAGGCTCATGCTTTTACCCTTAACCGTGATATTTTTACAACTTTTGGTTTGTATCGGGATTTTCTACACATACATCCTGGCACTCTTGTGTCAATTTTCTCTTGTATTCATAATGGATTTTGCAGTACCTTTCTCTATTTATCAACTTAATTCTGATTTATTATTATATTTAATGTTTAGAATTTATCACCTTAACTCTGTTTGATGTAGGTTGTTTGTACTATATCTCAATATTGGACTGTATCTCAATGATCCTAGGAGCTAAGTTGTCTGGGGCTTTATGTCGCTGGTACACACATGGCAAAAAGGTCCTACGTGAGGGACGAGCCGAAATATGGCTCAAAAGACCCCTTATGATGAGTACAATATATGGAACTCAGTTGCCCTTGCCCAGACGCGAGTTGTCAGGGGCCTCCCTCTGGAGCCAGGCCTGGTGGTGGGGCTCGCTGGCGAGCGCCTAGTGGCCGGGCCGACACCCATGGGGCTCGACTGGGCTCGGCCCCTAAGAGGCAACGTGGGTCCCCCTTTCCATGGGCTCACCACCGATGGCAGGGGCCAAAGAGGTCAGGGGCTAAAGTGAGCTGAGCAGCGGCCAAAGGCAGGAACGTTGGCGGTCAGATCCCGGGCTGCAGAAGCTAGCTCAAGGGACATTGAATGTCACCTCTCTTGCAGGGAAGGAGCCCGAGCTGGTGTGCGAGGCAGAGAATATTTGACTTGGCAGAGTCGGGACCTGCCTCCACACACAGCAAGTGCTCTGGTACCAGTTCTCACGAAAGAGGTTGGACTCTCTTCCACTCTGTAGTTGCCCACGGTGAGAGGCGCAGAGCAGGTGTGGGCTTACTCATCGTCCCCACCAGCTCAGTGCCTGTACATTGGGGTTCACTCCGGGAGATGGTTCCTGACTGTTGTTTGTGTCTATGCACCAACAGCAGTTCAGAGTACCCACACTTTTTGAGTCCTTGGAGGGTGTGCTGGAGAGCACTCCCTCTATGGACTCCCTCGTTCTGCTGGGGGACTTCAATGCTCACGTGAGCAATGACAGTGAGAGCTAAAAGGACATTAAAAATGTCACCCACCATTATCCATGCTTTGCCGGGCCGTAGCCGTTTGGAATATTCCAACAAGTGTGGCGATTGTTATGCTATGATGAATAAAGTTGCTGTTCGCACATAGTTGTCTGAAAAATATTGGACATAATCTGACGATGTCGCTTCACTTCGTGTTTCTGCCTTTGTTTCTCACTGATGATATGAACCTTTTAAGACTAACGGCAATCGGGGTGTAGTCAAGTCGTTAGCTTTCAGCTGAATTTGGATTTGTTTGCGAACGTCTTTTTTTAATTGAGAAAATATATACAACACAAGAATCAGACAATCCAATTAATATCTTTTAAATGCATACATAAAAGTTTAACAAAATTAATTCTATATTAAATTAATTAAAATTATAATAGTTATAATAAAGAAAATAAATAAAAATACATCTTTCAAAACTGTTATATCCTTGAGTTAATCTTTCAACATTTCTGAATGTATAGCATTTATTGATCTACATTTTTTATGAGAACAAGAGACTTATTTATTTATCTACCTCAAAAATGTTGTAAAATATATTCATTTATTTTTGTTGTATTGTTACCTTAATGTTCAAGTCTGAAATTTTATTTTATCAGTGTCTACAGAGCAGTTTTTCATTGAGCATACATTTCTTTTTTTTAATCCCATATGAAGGGCTCCAGACTTTTTTTTTTGTACTCGGACCACAGGAGCCCCTAATTTGAAATGTTAGGAGTCCAAGTAGAAAATGTAGGGGCACAAACTGTAAGTTAACCTGCAAAGTAAATATCCACTCCACGTGTTTGCTGTACATTTCTCATAAATGGGCTTAGGTGTAGAGCAGGAGAATGAGTGTGACACCTCTGGTTCGAGGGGAGGAGGGGATGGATGGATGGATCATTACATTGGAATTTTCATCTACATTTGGAAGAGTCCTGATCCAATCTGTGGAGATCCAATTCCAGGAGTGTGTGTTTGTTACGGATGTCCGAAGTTGGCCATTTGAGAGCAGAAAAAGATTGGAATCATGTAAATATTTAGAGTTTATAGCGCCACCTGTTGCTTTGACATGTACTTGGCTGCCTGAAATCTGTTTTCATATAAAATGAGGTTTTAATTTCGTGGATGTTGCTCTCCTTGAGAATTTTAGAAGAGAGAATAATTTACAACAAGGTGACTTTCGACACTGGTGAAATATAAGCAGGAATCGCATTTGTTCAAAGCAGAAGCTAAGCCTCGGGGTATGAAAATTCACAATTGGCTGCAGTCTTTGTGAAAACAATTTGATTCAGCAGAGACGTACTTGGAGCAAAGGGGAACTCGTCTCATATTTTCACGATTTACCGACAACGTTTTCAATTTCCATTTCTTAATTAAGGTTCGTATCGAAGCTATTAAAAGTAGAATTAGAATCTTCGTGGTCATTGCAACGTTGTTCTCGACAGCGGCTGTGCTCACGGCGTCTTTTCGGCAACTTGTTACGACATTACGGCTTTCCTGAATTAAGTCCATGAACATTACACCTTAGCTCGTGGCCTTCTTACGTTCACCTGTTGTGCTTCCCCAAGGGAGAAAGTGTAAATAAACTCCAGCGTGTTCAGAAAAAAACGTTCACGTTCAAACAGGTTTGTTAGAAAGAGTCGAATTGCCTGGGGAAATTGCAGTCAGGTGCGAAATTCAAAGGAAGGTTTTCATGGGCATTAAGTCTTTCTCAGCTACTTACCGCGGGGCTCATTTCAGTAAGTCAACGGGCTGTCGGTATTGCTCAGTCTTTATTCCACGTTGTCTCACAAATAATTTCCCCCAAGTAATGGCACAAGCTGTCTTGAATGCCGAAACGCAAGTGCGGTTGCTGAGTGAGCTGTTTGCTCCTTATATGACAGCTGCCCGACTGTGACTGCTTCACTGAATTGAATAGCGGCATAAAGTCATTTGCTCTGAGAAATCACACGCTTCCGTCTTGCCTTTCAACATAAAACAAATCAACAACTGCTTTATCAGCATTTATAAATGCCGATTACTATTATTCATTTTACACAAAATTCATCACTTTAAAATATCACTCATTATGGTTTGCATGAGTGCAAAAACTGGCTTCACAATAGGTTTGCTTAACAGGAAACGATATATTTTTTCAGGTAATTTGACACACGACGCAAATTTAAAGTATGCCACTCATTGGATATAGCATCATTCAACAACTAAAACGTTCAGTGCAGATTAATCACTTCCCCCCCTTTAGAAGCATGCATCATCACGGGATGTTGGGCTTTCAAATTACAGTATATGTCATCATGATATTAAATTCATTCATTCATTCATGACATGATGTCATGAGGATCCCACCTCATTACAACTCTGATACCACTTTGATTGGCATCGTCCCATAAATAGACACGGAGTCCATTAATCAAGCAAGCATATTTAAATGTGGATATGATTCAACTACAGGCCTTTTTGTATTTACCAATACCAATACCAAACATGTTTTCACAGGCAGCCATGTGTGCTTTTAAATTTTATTATTTGTTGTGGACACAATAACTGACACTTCAAATTGCCTCCAGCTGATAAACAAAATATATAGTGATGAAAACTAACCAGCCAAAGGAAAATAGGAAAGCATCCAACAGAACGGGATGAATAGGTCAGTAAGTAGTTTCAATGTAAAACTGTATTTTGTACTACATTAAGGTATTCCACAGGTTAATTGTACTATTAAAAATAATATGATGTCACATTCCGCAATTTACACCAACTTGAAAGTGACCGTATAGTGAGGGATTTTTTTTATAGTCACCTTTTATTTTACGATACTGCCCGCTGAAAGGTGAGGTTGCCAAGGGTGCCACCAGGGATTTGGGGCCCCCATTCATCCATGATCTATACTGTATGTCTTTCCTCATTTGGGTCACAGACAATTTTAGCCTAGCCCTGCTGAGTTTTGGGTGCACTAGTATATAGTCGCCATTCAATCATAGGGCATGTTTACAAATACCACGTTCACATTTTTAGACAATTTAGTTCAAGGAGGAGGCCAGATTACCTCAAGAAAACCCAAGCAAGCATGAGGAGACCATGCAAATAGGTCTATTTGAACCCAGAATTTTGTAACTGAGGCAGAAAATGGAGGAAGTACTGTAGTGAAATTAGCTCAGGGAGCTACTCTCAGGTGCAAAGCATATTTTTTTTTGTTCAAATGTCATTTGAACATGGTCTCTATAAAAATTAACCAAAGCAACCCACCGGCAACACGGTAACTGAGTGCTTATCCCACCTTCTCACAGTTTTCTGGTTGAGGGTTTGAATCTAGACCTCGGTCTTCCTGTTACAAAATGGGTTCGATTCCAGTTCCTGCATTCCTGTCTGGAGTTTGCATTTCTCCCCTTGCCTGCGTGGGTTTTCTCCAGGTACTCCGGTTTTCTCCCACATTCCAATAACATGCGTAGCAGGTTAATGGAACACAATTTAGAGTCTAAATTATACCAAGGTGTGATTGTGAGTGTGGATGGTGTTTCCTCTATGTGTGGTGTGTATAGAGGAAAAAACATCCATCCATCCATCCATCCAGGAAATGGATGGATGGATGGATGGAGATGTGTGTGTGTGTGTGTGTGTGTGTGTGTGTGTGTGTGTGTGTGTGGGGGTGTGTGTGTGTGTGTGTGTGTGTGTGTGTGTGTGTGTGTGTGTGTGTGTGGAGAGCTTTTTTCTGTTGCAATGTTGGTGAAAAAAGCTAGAAACATTTTCGACGAATAAGTGCTTTTGGAGTAATGGAATGCTTAGTAATAACATTTCATCTGTGTGTGAAACCTTCATGCATCCAGTGTAGGTTTTACGATTCACGATGCCTAACATGTTTTGTCCTCTTCTGCCCTCAGGTGGCAAAAAACTGCTGTGACAGCCGATCAACATTTGTCCTTATAATATTCCAACTGAAGATTAGGTAGAATGACGCAAGATACATCATAAAGGAATTGTATATTAAATAGACATATTTTGAGATATGAAGAAAGCCTATCAAGTAAAATGAGTATTGTGTGACATATGACATTGAAATATCGGGATTCATTTATAGAGAGGCACGCTGCGCTATGGACGGAGTTTGGAAGACGCTAAATTGCTCTTCAACACAAATTGTGACGCCGGTTTTCTGGTGACGCCCGCATGAGTTCTTGTCTGGTTGCCTAAACGAGTCTTTAGTTAACCCATGACGATGTCAAGCAGCCTTTAATTCACAGAACGGCCCTGTGGCCACACGAGGTCTTCTGATAAAATCGTATGACACCACCACCGTCTGTGCAGCTACCGCATGAAATGTTTACTTTCAACCATCTTGAAATTGGTCAAGTCTTCAAGCACAGGTGCTTGGGACTTGAAAAGACAGTACACGGGAGGAGATTCCCAAAGCGACAATGTATTTACAGAGCAATGTTACAACCCAACAAGGTACGTTTTATTTTAAGACCTATTATTGCAGTGTGTGATTTTTATGATTATTATTTTCATACATGCATAAATTGGCTATATGGGTTAAAACAGGACTTGCCACTGAAATAAATGAATGGACGTCACTTCATTGAGACAAATGGGAAACCCAAAATACGAATGGAATCCCACGAATACAGCGTGTGTGTGTGTGTGTGTGTGTGTGTGTGTGTGTGTGTGTGTGTGTGTGTGCGTGTGTGTGCGTGTGTGCGCGTGTGTGTGTGCGTGTGTGTGTGCGTGTGTGTGTGTGTGTGTCTGTGTGTGTCTGTGTGTGTGCACGCGCGCGCGTCCGTATGTAGATAGATCGATAGAATGATTTGTTTTTCGGCCAATTTTCCACATAACAATTCGCATATATTATATATTGCATTACTGTATAAATCTCCATACAAGCGCTGTATGAAAAAAGTTGACTGAGTATTATTACCGGTGCATTTGGTGACACAAATTGAAGTCGAGACTACACTATGTAGAATGCATACAAGAAGCCCATAAATGAGTTTTCAGCGGTGCTTGCATGCATGATGATGTAATTTGGCGTGTCAATAAGACTGCAGATGATTTTGTTCACAGCAGCCTACATATTTATTTCCCTTACCTTTTAAATTTATAGATCTCCCCAGCTTCAAGAAACATCAAGGACCACCGGAAGTCAATAAAATGTGCTGACAAAAAACAGATATCACCACCATCGAATCCTCCTCAGATGACTGAATTCGGTTTAATATGTCAAAAGATCAGCTACCCACAAAACCAGATGCACCAAGAATGCATTTCCAAACCTATTCAGGTATGTTCGAATGCGGTGTTGCAGTTTTATCACTATTTCGAAGTTTGTCAAGTTTTATTGTAAATGTTTTCAGTTTCTGTTTCTATTCAGGCATACAAAACAACCATCAAGAACAAAATCTTCACTTTCAATTTACCAAGTATGACATATGAAAGTAAGAACTTCACGGCACCAGCCTTTCAACTGTTTTTAAAAAAAAAAAATTCTGACAAATATGTGAAACACAATATCTCAATCTGTGCACAGGTATACTTAGAGATAACAGACGATATTTGACACCGTATGAGCAAATTGAAATTAAAGAATACAGAAAAGTCTGGTACGTAGGAAAAAAGGACAGTAAAATTCGGGCGCAAACCACTTCTGAGGAGGCCAAGTCATTTGATGATGACCAAGGATTCTACAAATCAGTAAGTGTAGAACTACTTTTTTTTTTTGTCTTCACAAAATGTATATTTTTCCGGAAGTGTATTGCTGATTGCTGCCATGCGAGAAAAAGGTTCCCCACCATGTTGTAATATATATATATATATTTAACGTGATACATTTCATGTTACAATGTAATAACAACAGTAATGTTCAATTTGCGTTTTAGCAATCAAAATTAATACAATGAAGAAAATGAAACCTTTAATGAGTGTAAAAAAAAGTCATCTGTCACAGTCAATGTTCAGGCTTTATTTGATTAAAAAAAAAATAGTGTAGCCTTAAAGTTTTACCTTCAAATTATGTTCTTTATTTAGGCAAAGTACTCAATTGTGTTTGGCTGTCCTAATTCAATGAAATTGGATTAATTACATAATATAAATAATCACTTCAGTTGAACTTGAAAGTTGTTCCATTATGTACACCAGGGGTGTCAAAGTCAAATGGACGGAGGGCCAGATAAAAAATTTTGCTGCAAGCCGAGGGCCGGACTGATCGAATGTTCATTGAAAATTTTAAAAATGACCACATATTGTGTATTGAACCAAATTTAATTGACTGAAAACCTAACAAATACATTCCAATATGGTCAGATAAATAAAGCAACATTTTTTTATGGCTATGTCAGTAAACTTTAATTTTCAACAGGCACAAAAAAATTTCCTTTGTATAAAAATACCCATAACATGAATGAAAGAAGCCGATATTATTCAAGGCACTATCA